GACAGCAGCAGCAGTATCAGCAGTTCTGTGTGGGTGCGTGTACCACTACTGATTGTGGTTACACTGGCCTGTATTCTTGTGTGCTGATTGTAATGATGGTGGTGGTGGTGTGACTCAGGTCATCCTTTGTTTTCTTTCTTCTTTTTTTTGCATACATCCCTACAGTCTAACTAATCTTCCACCTGTTGGGATTATCTCTTCTTTTTTTGTTTCTTAATGTTAATGTGTTTTGTGTGTGTTTTTGCTCTCTGTGTGTTTATCCTATAATTATTATTATTGCTACTCCATTGTGTGTGTGTGTTCTTGGAGACTCTCTCTGTGTGTGTGCCTGGGTTTTCACTGTAATGATAATGAACTGTTTTTTTTGCAGTGAGAAAAATGAAATAATAATAACAGATGAATTTATATTTATAATTGCTTATATACATATATATAGACTTACACCCATAGTTGGTGTATAGTTCTGTGTTTACTGTGTAAGGTGGGCTAATGGTTAATATCTGTTTGTTTGCTTGATGATTTTGCTGGGTGGTTCAGCCTTTTTGAGTTATTTCTGAGAGTGATCTTTTTTTTCTGTTTTTACTCTTACTGAGGTTATTGGGCTGTACTGCATTTATTAACTGGAAGGTTTTACTTTCACGATGTGAGTTTCTTCTGTGGTAATCGATTTGTGTGTCCTAACATGTTTGATACTTCATTTATTTCTTTTTTTACTTTTTGATTGTCCTTCTTTCTAGATAAGTGTTTTTACGCAAACCAAACCCTTGTCTCTCTCTCATGATGATAATGATGCGCCGTGTGATGTGTGTGTTGGCCGTTGTGCTGTGCTGTGCCTGCGGGTATACCATGGCTGGAGGTGGACAGTTAAATACGGAGAAGAACTACGATATGTATGTGAGTAGTTGGGAAGGGTTTCCTGGTAAGGATCCGAAACCAGAAAATGCAGATATACGTAATAGCGGTGGTATCCCTGAAGGAGAAAACCAACTACATGAACAACGACATGAATCATTAGGTGGTCATGGTTCAGGATTGGAAGAGATAAAACATCAGGAAACTCTTCATGAAAAGGGTGATATGATTACTGTTTCTTCTTCTGATCATCCACCACAGATATCCCCTAACCATGACAGTGACGGTCATCAGAACTCTCTCACTCCTGACAGTACACTGGAGTTACCCAAACCAAAAGAAGCACCTCAAATACATGTTGCAGCAGAAAAAAAAGAATCTGCACCAGTGAGTGCTCCTGCTAAAGGGAAAGCATTACCATCAGGGGCTTCAGAGACACTCACAACCACATCTACAACAACAGCCTTAACAACACCTAGAGATATTGATTCCACACAAACCAGTTCACCAGCTGAGTCTGCAAAACCCACAGATATGAGTAATGTCAATGATAGTATTACTGCGCAGCAACCTTCTCCAGCAGCGGAAAGTGCTGTACCCAGTGATGTTAATTCCGGTAACGAATTCAATGCAGCTCCAGGTACTTCTCCCACAGCAGACTCACAAGAGAATGGCAATGCTGATTCGCCGACCACCAACATTAACAGCGAAGCACCAACCACCACTCTATCTCCTCTAACCGACCCACCGATCAGCAAGATCGCTCCCACTATGCAGATGAAGGGTAATGTTGACAGCAGCAGTGTCAGTCCTGTGTGGATGCGCACTGCAGCACCGCTGCTGATGGTGGCTTTGTTGGTCTCCGCTACTGTGTACTGAACGGTGGGACTCACTTGAGGACAAATAATAATAATGGTTACACTAACATAATCATAATTGCGTACATCCCCCATGGGTGAATAAACTAATAATCTGTTTACTTGCTTTCTCTTTTAATTGGAATTTCTTTTCTTTTACTTTTGTGTGTGTATGTGTTCTTTTTCTAATAATTTCATTACTTGCTTTTCCCGTTGTGTGTGTTTGCAGAAAACTGGGCTGTTCTGCTCACTGACGGTATACATCTCTTGCTAGTACACAGATGTGTGTGTGCTGCATTTAATACATAAACTAGAGCCAGGGGGTATTGTGTGTGTGTTTGACTCTCTTTCTTATTTGGGTATTATGGGGTTTTTCCCTTACTATTAATAGGTACATATTATCATACAAGCGGAATATTCCTTTTTCTTTTGCTTTACTGTGCAGTTGCTGCTTCTCTTTTCCACTGTGAGTATTTGTTGTATTGGTGTATGTTTGTTTGTTTTCTATTATAATTCTTTCTCTGCCTTCTTCTTCCTTTTATCAGTGTATTGCAGTAAACAGCAACAATGACAATGACTGTAATGGTGAGGTGTTACCTGCTCTGTTCACTAACTCTTGCACTGTGTTGTGCCTGTGGGTTAGTATGGGCTGATGGTCCTAAAGCTTCCAATGCCCTTATTAAACCTTCCACTGTTGGTGTTCCTTCTCTTGTTCGTCATGCTATTCCTGCAGATGGAGGCTCGTGGGTTTCGTTTGAGGAGGATGGTGGGGATGCGCATGATTCTGAAACATCTACTTGTGTTGATAATTCGGATTCTCATGGTTGTCGTAAATCCATTGCTACTCACGGATCTGGTGACGATGAGGACCTAAAACAGAAGAAAGATGAAAGCAAAGAAGAATTGAAAAAAGGTCAAGAAATGGAACGGACGAACTCAGATCTTGAGAGGACACAAGCAGATCCGCATGCCAATCAACACAAGGGTGCAAACAACAGCAACCCATTAAGTCTGCACGAGGGAAGGGGTTCTGAAGTTTCTCTTGATTCTGAAGAGCTCTCTGCTGGTCAACCTCAGTTGCCAAGAAAAACAAATCCAGATGACCCTCTTCATGGAGCTATCGGTGGTAAAACAAAGGAACAAGTTGAACATATTGGTGCTCCTGATGGTGGGAGTTCAGGTTCTAGTTCATCCCGTTCCTCTTCTCATCCTTCTCCTACTCCTTCTCAACCTGAACCTGCCGTCTCAACTACATATCAAGCACGTGATAAGAATACAGTGGATTCAAAAAGAATAAAAAACGGTGAACACGTTGCCTCTCACAATATTGGTGCTGGGGACGAAAACGAACAACAGAGACAAGAGACATCTGTTAGGGAGAACCAATCACAATCCACCAGGCAGGAAAGCGCACGAGAGTCTCTTCTGCAAGTACCTGTTTCTACACCAGAAACGCAAAAAGCATTAAACAAACAGGAATCCCAATCACAAACAGAATCACATGATACACAAAACCCGCAGACCACACAAGCAAATGTGCAAGGAACTAATAATGGACATGACTCTTCTGCTCCCACTACTGAAAGTACAGGTGACGTTTCTCCCAGCAACACAACCACAGATGTTACCCATAATAATCAGGCAGAGAATGGAACTAATGTTGCAAAACCTGCAGAGAGTGAGTCATCCACCACCACCACAACAACAACAACAACAACAACACTTCCTCCTGAACTCACAAACAACAAGAAGAGTGATGCAGACAGCAGCAGCAGTATCAGCAGTTCTGTGTGGGTGCGTGTACCACTACTGATTGTGGTTACACTGTCCTGTATTCTTGTGTGCTGATTGAGTAGTGGTGGTGATGTGGTGGTGTGACTCAGGTCATCCTTTGTTTTCTTTTTCTTTTTTTGCATGCATCCACACTACAGTCTAACTAATCTTTTACCTATTGGGATATTCTCTTTCTTTTTTTTTGTGTTTCTTAATGTTAATGTGTGCTTTGTGTATGTTTTTGCTCTCTAAGTTTATCCTATAATAATTATTATTATTGCTGCTCCATTGTGTGTGTGTGTTCTTGGAGTCTCTCTGTGTGTGCCTGGGCTTGCACTATTATGATAATGATGAATTGCTTTTTTGAAGTGAGAAAAAAGGAAATAATAATAACAGAGGAATTTATATTTATAATTGCATATATATACACATATAGACTTAGACCCATAGGTGGTGTATATTTCACTTAATTACTGTGTAGTGTGGTATCAACTGTTAATTTTTTTTGGTTTCTTGTGGTTTGTTGGAGCCTTGTGTGATAAGTCCTGCAATCTGTTGAGGATTTTCTTTCTGCAGAGTGAAAACAAATAATAAAATATATATTCATATTCATAGTTGCTTATTAACTCTTAGTCATCCATATTTCTCTGAATTGTGCGTTTGGTAGGGCTGCTGGCTATGAACATAATATCTTTTTTATGGCTTTCTTGGAGGTTTTTTGTGGTGTCCTTTATTGAACTCATTATTGGATTCGTTTTTGTTTCTATTTGGTAATTGCTGTCTGTTTTATACTCTACCGTCGTCTATTAGTATCTATTCTGTTGGTTATTTTTCTTGTTATTTATTTATTTACTCATTTGTCAAAGTAACCTAAAGCAACAAAAAGATTTCTTTCCACGATGATGGTGTTACGCTATGTGTTGTATTTACTGGCTGTGCTGTTCTGCGTTGCCTGTGTGTGTGTAACGGCTGAGGGAGATCCAACTGCTATTAGATGCGTTGCTGATTCCTCTGATATTTCGAAGTGTGGATCTGCACCCTCTCATCCTGGTGTTTTTCCTGCTCATTCTAATGGTCACAACGCTGAGTCCTCTATTTCACATGGACGTCAACTCATTTCCCATCAAGGTTCTCCTGGTGGTGCTAAGGGTCCTTCTTGCCCAGCTGGTACTAATTGTCCTGCTGCTCCTCCTGCGGCTAACACCACAACCAAAGGAACTGGCCTCAACTACACCA